ATACGTTAGAAGATAGATACCCCTGAATGATACGTTAGAAGACAGATGCCCCTGAATGATACGTTAGAAGACAGATGCCCCTGAATGATACGTTAGAAGATAGATGCCCCTGAATGATACGTTAGAAGATAGATGCCCCTGAATGCCTCCGTAGGGGGGTGTTTGGAGCATGTCCGACAGGGAGGAGACCCTGGGGAAGATTCAGGACACGCTGCAGAGACTATTGTCTTTCATCTGGCCTGGGAACGCCTTGGAGTCCTCCCAGAAGAGCTGGAAGAGCTGGCAGTGGAAATAAATATCTGGGCCTCCCTGCTCAAGCTGCTGCTCTGTGACCCGACTTCAGAATAAACAGAAGATTGACAGACGGACATTACGTAATACCAATCAGTAAAACATTTTTTATCTAAAGATAAAAAACAGCAGATTTTTTTGAATCTTCAGTGTAATCCTGCAACAGTGGAAAGTAATGAAAAGTCCTTAAAGTAAAGTAAAGTAAAGGAAAAAATGTCCAGCAGAACTAGAACCGAAAACAAGATTAGTAGCCATCTGCCTCCTTCAGCTGGGGGTAGAGTGGATAAGAAAGAGACCGAAGGGTTGGTYCAGGTGTAGTTTCAATGGGAAGAAAACCAATAGGATGCTTTATAACTGTTTGAAAAATGATTATTTATGCGTTCATGAATAACCTTTTATAAAAGCTTTAATAAATCCTTTATAAAGGAAGTGGTACCACTAACGCATCTGTGTCTGTGCTAAAATAAATGTTATGTGGAACTGAGAGCCTCTTTTCTACTTTGGAATAATCCAATTTCTGATGTCAAACATTCAGTATGTCCTTATGTGGGACTGTCACAGTGTCCTGTCCTCGCTCGGGGATTTGTTGCCCTGAGCATTGCCTGGAAGGAGTGCAGGCCTGCCAGCAATAACACCATAGGTTTGGTACTTTTCTTTCAATATTCTCTCACTCTTGTGTTCCCAGGGGGAGGCAATGTGCGGATTGAGAGCGTGAAGCTGGATTTCAAAGATAAGGCCATCCCCAAGGTCGGCTCCCTGGATAATGCCAGCCACACTCCTGGAGGAGGGAATGTCATGGTAAAAAAAAATAAAAAATAAAATATTTCCTAACTCTTCAATGTCCCTGCTAATTTCTTTCTTCTTGTTTCTGCTTCTTAGATTGAGAGCCATAAGCTGAGTTTCCGTGAAACGGCCAAAGCTCGCGTGGACCACGGGGCTGAAATTATCATCACCCACTCCCCTGGGATGGAGACGGGGGGCACCTCTCCTCACCTGTCCTCCTCTGGAAGCATCAACATGACGGAGTCGCCTCACCTGTCCACCCTGGCGCAGGATGTCACCGCCGCCCTKGCCAAGCAGGGCTTATGAGCGCCGGCGGACGCACACAAAAATTCCCCACGGTCGCTCCTKTTTTTTCCCGATCTTTGTCGCTCGCTCTGAAGCATCCGGTAGATTTTTTMTTTTCTTTTTCGTGAAAACCTACCCCGCACAAGTTCTGGACTGTGTCGTTCATCCAGCCCTTCAAAAAAACTGAACTCTGCAAAAAAAAATAAAAAATCACTTCCTCTTTTTGGGGAAAAAAAGGGAACCCCTCTTCATTYCTTCACTCAAATATGGACACTTTCTGTTGTATAGCTGATAGTCTCGCGTGGCTGTGATTGTCTAAGAAAGCGGTTACATGATTGTAAAATGATTCGTTTTTTTTTGTCTGTGGAAAGCATCGCCAGTCCACTTGAACTGATTTCATTATGTCCATTCATGGTACTGAATGCAAAATACTAGCTAATTAACGCTTGTCTTAAAATATACAACCGTACGAGAGACTTAAATTCGGGGGAAAAAAACGAATGACTGACAAATGGGCATGTTCTGCTAAAATGTGGCATTTTAAGTCAAATATGTTGGATTTTAATGTTAAAAACTGTTTTTTTTTTATATATATATACATGTTAATGTAGTGTTACAGTTTTGTACCTTTTCCTGTGGCTGCTTTGGCTTATTAGCATTTATAATAACCACTGCAGTTAGATAAAATGTTGAGCGCTAAACGGCTAGCTTTCCAATAGAGTTTCCTGTCTTTTTTATTTTCTTTTTTTCTATTTACTTCCTGCAAACAAACAAACCATTTTGTTTTGTCTTTAGCGCTGTAGCTTCAAGCTTAAGGTTACACAATGCTGTTATGCTGGCATGGCGAATAAAGGATTAAATTAGATCTATTTGCAGCCATCTTAAAACTTTAGCGTGAGTGGCCAAGATGCTATTTGTTGTCGACTCTTTAAAGGGAGGCTGTCGAAAGCCTTGCAACCCTTTTTTTGTATTGTTTTGCGAAGACTGGACTGTACATTGTATCTGAATAAGGGCCTAAAAGTTTGTTTGAGATAAGTGTGAAGCTTTATATGAAAACATTCCTGTTTAAAAAGAAAAGCTGTGTTGTGATTGACCAAGTGTGATCGTTTTGATCGTTTCCGGAAAACAAAAGTGAGGACGAATGGAAGTTATCACCTGCTGATAAAATTCATTAAAAAAAAAAGAAAAATAAAAGGAAATAATTTCTGCTCACCGTCGTGAAACCCCCCTTTGACCCTCTTTTTTTCCCCCACTTTTCCTCCTTGTCAGAAACCTCAACGATGTTTCTCTGTGCTTCTTTTACGGTCCCCGCTCCCACCCTCGACCCTCTATGCCTGTGTAAGTGTATTTAAAAAATAAATAAAAATAAAATAAATGTAGATATGTGTGCGCTATTTCCAGTGTTTGAGATGTACTGATTACAAATGCTCCGTAAGGGTGATGACAGAAAAAAAATAAAGAAATAAAAACTGGTTCATTCTAGTCTTTTTATTATTWTTATTAATAGACAGTTATGATCTGGTTGTCTTTTACNATATATATAGGACTTTGTCCTATTCACTTAAAGAAAATAAAAACACTTTAAAATGATTTTCTTCTTATAAGTGTAAAAAATCAAATCAAAGACAAAGAAAAAACAATAGAAAAGTTTTTTTTCACCAGGGTGACCTCTACTTTTTTTTACACATAAAAAAAAGTCAAATATAGAAAATGTTCTGTTAACACAACCTCTGTTTGCCAGATATGCATAAAGCTGTGTATGTTGTGGGAATGTCATCGCTGAGAAATCTCTTCAATGTCACAGGAAAGATGGTAACAACACCTGCTCAGTGGCAGACTGGGGAGGTGGTTTCTATTTAAAAACAAGAATCAGACAGACAATGAACAACTCAAGGACTACACTTCTCAGCTTCACTGGGAAATTTTACTTCAGGCTGTTGGAAGATAGGTTCTGACCAATTACGTATCTAACCTTGGGTACTGGAAGTACAGTGTGGCTTTCATCTTGGTCATGAAAGACTGAACCAGATATTTGTCCTTATGGGTTTACTAAGGGGGTCATGTGAGGTGAACTCCTTAGTTTATTTGTAATTTGTAAATCTAAGCCCCCTCTATATGGGCCTACCTGTAGATTATTTCCTTAGTTCATCCTTGGCCAAATGTGTCTCCATTTCAGGTTTCAACCATGTTTTCGTAACCATCTCCGAGGTGCTTCCAAGTAGGTAGAACTGAGTACTACACTCATGATTTTGACCTCAGACTTCTGCCCATAGATTGATTAAACCAAGGCAGAACTTGCAAACTCCTCCAGCAAACTCGTCGAGGTGAGAGGTGGTGATGAGCACATACAGCTTGAGCTAGATGGAGCAGTCTGAAATGAACAGATATCTCAGGAGGTTTCAGAAAAATTGGCCACCCATATGGTTACACATGCACATAAACAGTGCTGCAAAACAGACAAGCCTTGTGCTGATGATCTGCTCACAATCACACCCACAGAATGAGGGATGCACTCACATGGAGAGACACACACCTGAGCAGAACCAAACAGCATGAACCAAATAGAGTTCAGCTTGACAATGGAGACAGGGCTCTAGAGACTTATGGCAGGCAGTGTTCCCCAAAGCATTATTTTTTAAACTAAAATCTACTTTTGAAATTGCCAGTTTGAGGAGATCTACATATACAGTACACTCCTGATCAAAATCTTGAGACCAATAGAAAAAGTGCAAGAATTCGCATTTTCCAGTATTGGATCTTAAGAAGGTTCTAAGTCGAGCTTCACAATGTTAAAAGAAGAAATCAGAGCAAGAGACAAGAACTTTTGAGCAGGGAATTTTCTGAAAACTGCACTCATACATGATTTTTTCAGCTGATCAAAAGTTTAAGACCACAGCTCAAAAAACGCCGAAAACCCCCCAAAACAGAAATCAAAGTGTCAGAAAAAGGACTCAGTAATGAGTAGCTCCACCATTCTTGTTGATGACTTCAAACAATCATTTAGGCATGCTCGATGCCAGTGTTTCCAGGAGGCTAGTGGAACGTTGCTCCAAGTGTTGAAGATGGCTTCACGAAGGGCATCCACTGTCTGGAACTGATGTCCATTTTTGTAAACTTCCCTTGCCATCCATCTCCAAATGTTCTCAGTTGGGTTTAGATCCGGGGAACATGCAGGATGGTCCAAAAGAGTGATGTTATTCTCTTGGAAGAACTCCTTTGTCAGGCGGGCATTGTGAACTGCAGCATAACCCAATCATTACCACACAGACGAGGGCCCTCAGTCATGAGGGATGCCCGCTGCAACATCTCCACATAGCCAGCTGCWGTTTGACGCCCCTGCACAACCTGAAGCTCCATTGTTCCATTGAAGGAAAACACCCCAAATCATGATGGAGCCCCCACCACTGTGCCGTGTAGAAAACATCTCAGGTGGGATCTCCTTGTCRTGCCAGTAACGTTGGAAGCCATCAGGACCATCAAGGTTAAAATTTTTCTCATCAGAGAAGACAACTTTCTTCCACCTTTCARTGTMCCRTGTTTGGTGCACCCTTGCAAAGTCCAAACGGGCAATTTTGTGGCGTTGAAGAAGACGTGGCTTTTGAAGACGTTTTTTATTTCTGAAGCCCTTCTCTCACAGATGCCGTCTGATGGTTATTGGGCTGCAGTCAGCACCAGTAATGGCCTTAATTTGGGTAGAGGATCGTCCCGTGTCTTRACGGACAGCCAATCGGATCCTGCTGCTCAGAGCTGGTGAAATTTTTTTGGGTCTACCACTTGACTTTTTTGTTCCATAACCCTCAGAATCATTTAAAAAATGCAAAATGACTGTCTTACTGTGTCCAACTTCAGCAGCGATGGCACGTTGTGAGAGGACTTGCTTATGCAGCTCAACAATCCAACCACATTCAAAGTCAGTGAGATTTTTTACTTTTGCCATCAGGAGGTCTTGACAGTGTAAAGACTTGACAGAAAATGACATGGAATCCAGATTTTTGCACAGCTTTTGGCTTTTAAAGACTATGGTCTTAAACATGATTTTTTTCAGCTGATCAAAAGTTTGAGTGTAAATGCAGTTTTCAGAAAATTCCCTGGTCAAAAGTTCTTGTCTCTTGCACTGATTTCTTCTTTTGACATTGTGAAGCTCTACTTAGAACCTTCTTAAGATCCAATAGTGAAAAATGCAAATTCTTGCACTTATTTGACTGGTCTTAAGATTTTGATCAGGAGTGTATGTCTGTGTCTGTCGTGGGTCATATTAGGGTCATAATATAACAATTGCAACATTGTGTAGACATCGGGGGCAGTGCCACTGGATTGGCAGACTAAGGTGGTGTGTCCCATCTTCTAAAAAGGTGACCAGTGTGTGTGCTCCAATTACAGGGGCATCACTCTCTAGCCTCCCCAGTAAGGTCTTTTTGCGGGTACTGGATAAAAGAGTTCAATCATTTTGTAACTGATTAACTGACTGTTATATGCAGTATTTTGTTTTACACTTTCTGATCATTGCAAGTAAGGTTAAAACAGGCAAAAAGTTGGTGTGTGTCTTATCATGTGTTCTTTTTATCAGGTTTTAAGCAGGCAAAAAACCCAGCATGCAGGCAGCTTCAAAAATTGAAAACAAGGCTTTCACATAAATCAAAAGGCTGGCAGTGCAGCACAAAAACTCACTCGAAGTCACAGGAAACACGGAAGCAGGACACAGTCAGGGGAGGTTGAACAATGATCCAACAAAGACAGAAGACAAGGCTCAGAATATAAAGCAAACAAATTAAGGGACAATGGGAAACACCTGGGGAAACAAGAGGAGACAGATGAGCAAGGGCGGGGCTGCAGGGCAGAGAAACACAGGGAAACAGAAAAACACTAGAAAATGAAGACAAAAACACAGATCATGACACTTTTAGCCTAAACAAAAATGAGTTACGTTCTATGTCTGATGTAAAAGGTAACACCTCCAGGGGTGTAACCAGGAAGAGATGTACATTATAAGGTCAATTCATTATTATAGTAGAAAGAAGTTGTTAGTGTTTTGCAGAGTCTCTGCTCAGAGCAGGGCTGCTGTGTTTAGTTTTGGTTTTAGCTCAAAGCCTTACGCTGAGGCCTGCTGAGTGCTGTACTGTGAACCTGATTGGAGTCAGAAGATTGACAATAAAGTTTTTAAGAAGAAATCCACTTGGATTCCTGCATTTATTCAGACATGCCATTTTGAACAATTCTTTATTTCTACAGAACCTCAGATTCTGGAGGAACAATGTGGGTTCCATCCTGGCCGTGGAACACTGGACCAACTCTTTACCCTTACCAGGGTCCTCGAGGAGTCATGGGAGTTTCCTAATTCAGTCTACATGTGTTTTGTTGACGTGGAAAAGGCATTCATCCGTGTACCTTGAGGTACACTGTGGGGGGAGCTACAGGAGTATGAGATTGTGGGTCCAATGTTACGGGCCATTCGGTCCCTATACAAGCGATGCAAGAGTTTGGTTTGCATTGCCAATAGTAAGTCGGACCCCTTCTGAGTGGGAGCTGGACTCTGCCAGGGCTGCCCTAATACGTTAATTGGTAAAAAAGAAAATTTTTTACCCATAAAAAGAAATGTTAAAATTCAAAATTCTTTCATTTTTTCTTTTTAGAATTGCTGTTGTCCTTAACAGCAAAGGGTTTCCTGGATACGGGATAGGGGATTCCTCTCCTTGGGCTGCTACCTTATCGTGGTGGAGGGGTTTGAGTGTCCCAATGATCCTAGGGGCTATGTTGTCAGGGGCTCCACGCCCCCAGTAGGGTCACCCAAGGCAAGCATGTCCTAGGTGAAGGATCAGACAAAGTGCAGCCCAAATACCCCTATGATGAGTACCATAAATGGAGTCAGTGTTCCCTCGCCCCTGGGGCCCCGCTCTGGAGCCAGGCCTGGAGGTGGGGCACGTTGGCGAGTGTCTGGTGGCCGGGCTTTCGCCCATGGAGTCCAGTTGGGCACAGCCGGAAGAGGAGATGTGGGTCCCCATTCCTATGGGCTCACCAGCTATGGGAAGGGACATAGGGGTCGGGTGCATTGTGTGTTAGGCAGTGGTCAAAGGTGTGGACCTTGGCGGTCCGATCCTCGGCTACAGAAGCTGGCTCTAGGGAAGTGGAATGTCACTTATTTGGTGGGAAAGGAGCCTGAGCTGGTGTGTGAGGTTGAGAGGTTCCAACTAGATATAGTTGGACTCACCTTGACGCACCGCTCTGGAACCAGTCACCTCGAGAGGGGTTGGACACTCTTCTACTCTGGAGCTGCCCATGCTGAGAGGTGTCAAGCAGGAGTGGGCATACTTATTGCCCCCCCATCTCGGTGCCTGTACATTGGGGTTCACCCGGTGAACGAGAGGGTAGCCTCCTTCCGCCTGCGGGTGGGGGGATGGGTCCTGTTTATTGTTTGTGCCTATGCGCCTAACAGCAGTTCAAATTACCCACCCTTTCTGGAGTCCTTGGAGGGGGTGCA